CAGCACCTAACCGTGCTTCATTGGCTAAGGATGTCTCCTGACAAATGACGTACTCGATGTCACTCCGGACGATCCGCGCATACGCTATGGGCATAGCGCTCAGGGGTTGGGCCGCGCCACAATCACGGCTCCCGTTCCGTCTCATCTCTTCTTTGAGTCCCGAAGAACCTGGAAGCCCGCCCTTGCAACAGCAACGTTGATCTGATTGACAAGCAAGCAGGCCTTGTCTGCTTGGGCGGCCTGTGTGACACGACGTGGCTGCCACGAGCGACTCATTTGTGTGGTTTTCTGGACGATATAAGCTCGGCGCTTCATTCGCTTGATAACAAGACCACATCAATAGAGGCTAACAATTTGTTGGTCAATGTCTCTCAACTTCACCAAATGGGTGCTACAACATGATGATCGACAACGTGTAACGAGTCGGGCATACGTGAGCTTCATTCGTCACAAGAAGCGCTTACTCCTTTCCCGTACCTCTTCAATCTGGCGGGCAGCTCGAAGAAGAGGCAGGCCATTCGTCGCACATCCGAAAGTGCCTGTTCTCCATTCGCATCCTGCCCTGTCTCAAGTGCCGCCCTACCTGCGCCCGTGCCTGAATATTGAACAACGGCCCCTCGGGTACATCTGGCTTAGCCTTGGCTTGGCGGCAGTACTACTGGAAATAGCCATCCATGTAGGTCCATCCTACTGGAGGGTGACATGTCGAGAATGACTCGAGCTCCTCGATTGGCTTAGCTATCAGTCGGCGGTCTTTCGTGAGTGTTAGCGAAGCTTTCACTGAACCAATCAAGAAGCAACTGCTTCTCATGACCGTACATCAACATGACAGTCTACAATTGACGTGCCGTCTACTGGATCCGGCCTTGCTTTCTCAGGCTTGCGTCGCAGTCGAGTTGACTCTTGGTACCTCTAGCGTGTAAGCTTGGGCACTTGCAGACTTGACATGCTGCTGCGATTCTTTTCCTCCCGGACCATCCGTTCAACGTCAATACTACCACCCCATCCGGCGCAAAATCTCCGGCCCGCGCGGTTGCGCCTCATCTAATGTCTTGGATTGGGCTGGTTGAGTCGTCCTCGCAAGGTCCGTCAGGCGCGAGAGTTCCCGCCCAACAGATACAGGGTCACGCTTTGCAGCGTCAACTGTTCGGTACGGTCCGCGCGCGGGACAGCTGTTGAAGTTCGCTGGTGTTCCATCTTGTGACTGGTGATGATGCGTCCGTCTGTCGTGACACTGCGCTGGTGAAGTATATCTCAGTCTTGATGCATCATGATTACTAGAATCTTCCGACGCCATGTACGGCTGAGTGGTAGACAACCTGATACATTCCTATCTCGTGATGGTCTTGTATCCATCTACCTGGGCACCCGTGAAGCCTAGCGCAAAAATGCACAAAGGTATCATTCTTGTCTGCAAGATAACCTGTTACCAAGGCATCTTAAGAGTAGAAAGCCTAGTGTCGATAGTAGACTCATCTTGACCATCCGGGGCGACGATTTCCTGCTTGGTGACGCAAAAGCTTGCGTTCGGGCGTTGTCTAGCCATATACAACCGCCGGGTCTTAATCATCAATGGGAATCCACGACGATTAGTGCTCTTCGCAGGTTTCATTCGCCTGACGAGAGTGGCCGCGGCCAGGCACAATATGCACTTCCAACCCGGGAGGATTATTGCCGGGCAAGACACTCACCTCTTCTGCTACGCCGTGGCCCAATCACGATAGCATGCGAGGAAGTTGGAGGTCACGCGGCAACGTCTGCATCTCTTGTAAGGAGGGAACAGCGAACCATGGTAGACGATAGATTTGCGACTCCTATGAAAAAGCCCTTCGATGATACTGACGGCTGTGTGGCTCCTTCCAGTCCGTCCACCCGCACCCGAAACGCCTTGCTAACCTCACCAAATACACTAGCCATGATAGCTGACCGTTGACAGTCCCCACGCGCGCCGCGGCGATTACCGCTTCCGGATGTCGCAAGAACGCCTCACAAAAGACCATGAGGCACTATTTCACCAAACTAGCACACCCCTAGCCTCCATCCGGGTCACAAACGATGTTTTCTTCAGACGTTGAGAGGAACAGAAGGAAAAAAAAATCACGCGGCGACGCCGATGCTGCGCTTGTGGATCTGCAGACATCTTCCAAAGTCAAGCTTCTTGCCCTCGGTGGGCATGTGTTCGCCGCTGGCGATACACAGCACACGCATGCGCTCGTCGTACCTCAAGCCTGTGAGCAGCTTCGGCGTGATGAGGAAGTACTGGCTCGTGTGCTCGCGGCAAGCAATCTCGACCATGCGCTCGTGCACCATGCGCTCGTTGCGCGGGTCCATCCCCTGGTTGATCTCGTCGACGACGCGAAACGGCGAGCGCGCCATGGACTGAAGAGCCATAAGGAAGAAAATGGTTGACACGGCGCGCTCGCCGCCGGATTGTCGGTGCTGGTCGAGCTTTTGCAGAGTTTCGCTTTGCCTGTCATGAATTATTAGAATCCTGCGTATGCAACAGTGGTTGCGTACTAAGACATTTGCAAGGGTGCAAGAGGCGTACCTGAACTTGACCATGATGTCTAGTGCCCACTGGTCAAAGTCTTCGTCTTTGTGAATGCGCACCTCGCCACCACAGTTGATCTGCTCAAAATTGTACGCGAACGCGTCGTTGATCTGCCTCACAAGCTCCTCAAGCTTTGGCTCCCATTTCGCGCGGAGCCTTGTGATCTGTCGCATTTGCTGGTCGCTCTTGCTCTGTGCTTCTTCCATCTCGCGACGAATCTTTTCAATGTCTTTGGCTCGCTTGTCGTAGTCACGCATGGCGTTGGGGGTTGGCATGGAGCAGCTCGAGCTTGGCGCTCTCGGCCTTGATCTCGTTGTCGATATCCTCGAGCGTCTTGCCGGCAGCCATCTCGGTGAGGTAAACCTGTCGTTCAGTCGGATCCGCCGCTTGGATGCACATCTCCTTAACCTTTTCGTGAGCTTCTTTGGCCTCAGCTTTCGAAGTCTGTTTCTCCCTCTCGACCTCAACAATCTTCATCTTCTCATGGTCCAACCTTCTCACGAGTGTTGTGTTCTTATCCTTAAGCCCTTCAAAGTCAGACCGTGCCTCGATCTCACGGATCTGGCCCTCGATGAGCGCTTGCTGGGCGTCGTGCATGTCTGCGATATTCTGCTGATACTTCAAGCCTGCACGAGCAGTCTCCAGTACGGCTTTGTCGCATTGCACTTCAAGATCAATGATGACTGCGCGGCACGACTCCAACTCCTCTTGCTTCTTGACGCCCAGCTTCTTTTCATGCTCTGTTCGACATTAGCTCAGCTTGTCATGTCACGAATCTAAGTCACTCACCGAGCTTCGCTGGAATGGCTTGGTACTCGCTGAACTCCTTCTGCAGTACCTTTTTCTGTTCTTTCAGGTCCTCCTACACCATAATTAGCATTGGTACCCCAAGAGACTGAAGCTCGTTCTCTGACCGTCACTGCCAGGATGGACTCTCGCTGTGCGTGGTTCTCCTCAGCTTCCTTCTTGGTGCTCGCATTCTCCTCTCGAAGAACTGCCATGTTCTGCTTGACCTCGTCGAGGCGCCGTTGTAGCTCCTGCTTCTCGGCCAAATCACTTCGTCTTTCCACAACGCCTGGCTGTATTTCGCGGTCGTGTGAACAGCTCAGATCTCTTCGGGGGTTACAGCATACAATGATACGTCGCCCAGTTGCACTGTCTCTGCATAAGACTCGTATGGGTCTCGTGACATCTGAGTCCGATACTGCTAGATGAAGCTCTTTTCGTGCAAAGCATGCGAGGACAGGCTCCGGACGCTCAACTGGTCCATTGCCCAGCAGTCAAAGCCCATGCGCTGGGGCTTCCTCTACGGGAAGCTTGTTGAACCGACGAGAAGGAAGCTGCGGGCAGGTCCCGGATGCTGACTGACAGCCCGAGCTTACCGTACAGTTGAGCGCTCATTTTCTTGTGATCATCCACCGTCCTGAGCGGTGAAGCACATGAAATCGTCAAGCTGCAACATGGCTTGAATGTGGTCAGAATACCGTTTGTCCTTCACATTGCAGCAAAGCATGGGTGGCCCATAGACTTCCTGCTGAAATTCTTCGCCGTTCTCTCGTAGCCACTTCCAGGCTGCCGCAACGTCAGGAAAATGCTTCTCGAGGACCTTAAGTTGTTGTCCCTCTTGGGTATCCAGGTCAGAGAGATCCCGCGCCAGCGTGTTCTGCTCATCCCTGACCCGTCGGCCTCGCTCCTGGACGTCGCGTATTCGCGTCTGTATCTGACGATCCTCGGCCTCGAGCTCCCGAATCGAGTGTTCTTGGGCACGCTGAAGGGGGGGGGGTTAATTTTGTTCGGCAAGCAAGTGAGACGACACACTCACAATTTTCTGATTCCATTCTCTGGGGTCAAAATCAGATGGTTTGTTCTTCAGTCGCCGTTCCAGCTGACCGATCCTAGTCTTGATCAGGCCCAGCTCCCTCTTTTTCACATCGAAGACTTTCTTTTCGGCGTCTATCTTAGCCTGACACTGGGCCATCTCTTCCTGCGAGTTCTCGCACGCATTCAGTGCTCGATCTGCGGCCCCATCCACCGCCCTGACCGCAGCGTGTCGGGCTTGGACGGCAGCAGCGACAGCAGCGTGATAGCGCTGTTTGCTGTTCACCGCTTCCAGGGCCGGGGCTGATTCGCTCTCCAATTGCTGCAGGAGTTGCCTGGCGTCTTTGTAGGCGCGCTCCGTCTCTCGGTATTTGGTACGCAGGAAGAGGTAGTGGGCGATTTTTCGTGCATCCCCCAAATCATCGATGCGTACCAGCGCTTCCTCTCTTTCTCGGAATCGGTCCACGTCCGCCTGCATGGCCTGCTGCCGGTTTTCGAGATTGGCTAGTGTCTCAGCGTGGGAACCTGATCGCTGTTGAAGTTCCTTGTGGTCCTTGTGAAGTTCCTGTAGCTCCGTTTGCCATCTCAGCATTTGAGGGTCTGCTGCGGCCCTCAGGGTTTCGTGTAGCAAATCGACTGGCGTGCAACCGGCGAACTCGACGACCCGATCCTGGGGCAGGAACTGGCAGAGGTTGTCTACTTGGATACTGAGGTCCCTCATGAGGCCCTGGATGGCCTTGTGCGTCGCCTCCTTGCCGTTGAGTCGAAATCGGGAACTGTTGCGCTCACGGTCGATCTGGACTTGGACGACGTGGTTCCTCCGATCCTGCCGGCGCCTCTGAAGCTCGATCTCGATGGTGGCCGTGGCCTTTCCATGCTTGACGAACTCTTTAATGCTACCTGCGCGGCCCAGATGCTTGGGGCTGTAACCTAGGCCGAGGCAGATGGCGCAGACCAACGAGCTCTTGCCGGTACCGTTGGGACCGATGACCATGTTGAGGTTGGGACCGGGAAAAAACTCGGCCCTCTCGTAGGTCACAAAGTTTTCCACCTTGACACGCCGAATAGCGCCAGGCTGGAAACCGTCCTCATCGAAATCGGGCTTGGCGGCACCATTTGTTCTGGATGATCGCTCGGTCTCTTGTTGTTCGCTTGTGTCGTCCCCGTCGCTGTCTTCGGATTCCTGTTCGGTGACTCTGCGCCTCTGACGCCGGGGGGCTTCGTGTTCTTCCTCATCGCTGTCTTCGCGTTCGCGCCGGCTCCGTCGCCGTGAGGCGGCGTCGGACGCCATGGCGATAGTTGTTCTCGATCCCCCAAGGTAGTCTTCGGGGAGAGTTTGTGTTGGCCGCAACGGACGAGGGGCTCAGTCAGCAAACCGTGGAATGTCACGATCTTGCGAGGAGAGGTCGGATATTCTGGGTCCGAGGGAGGGTGTTCGGCATGGGTAGGCTGTAAAGAGGCTGTCCGTGCCTAAAGTCAGGTGCGACGCGATTGGACGCGTTACCTCTTTGTCAGTTCGCGTCGGCTGTGGCACGTGGCGGGGTTCGCGATAAGTTGTCATCGAGGCAGTACAGGTTTGCTTACCTAAGTTCTTGGAGTGCAGCCAAAGTACCTGGGCGATTGCCCTGGCAGCCCTGGGTGGGTGGTGTCTGTCTGACCAGAACGGGCAGGTGGAGCTCGGCCGATCTTCAGTGGACGTCAGTGCGCTGGTCAGTCTGCAATGCTCAGCAGGCGCGGAAGTGAATCCAACTTCATCCCTTCCATTGCTCGGCTCCAGCCTGACGTTGACACGCTGTCTGTCGTTTCTTCGGGCCTTCTCCAGGCCTCCAAACTCCGATCACTTCTGCGATCATGGTTTTACAGACCTTTTCGTCGCCTACTTGCAGCTCAATACAAGAAGAACTTTATCCCATGCATCACTGTATCCGACATTGGGGAGTCGAGTGTTAGCGATGACCTCATTATTGCGCCCACCATCAGACGTTGAAAAGTCCTTCTGATAGTCTGCGGATGGTATGAGCTCAGCTACTAGTACTTCTTTATTAAGAAATCCAACATTCCAGAACAAAACCCCCATTTCTGAATTCTACATGGATATCAAACCTTGGCCTGCCTCCCGTGAGAACCCGCGTACACGCACATCCCAGCCTTCAGTCTAGTATCTGCCGAACAATTAATGCCACGTTAACTAACCAGTCTACCAACTGTAGATGCTTTGACAAAATATCAGCGCAAGATATACAGCGCGGGTGCCCGGTTCCTCGCTCCCTCAGGCGGCTGCCAATGGTCGTAGACAGCGATTTCCGATTATGAGGCAACAGTTCATACCACATCTAGAGTGCTCATTATATCCCATTTAAGTCACCAGGATAGTCGTGAAAAGATCACTGAGCAGCCTGTGTGGCTAGAATCGGCTACGTAGTGATTTGAGCACAACGCGTCTGTCGCGCCCGAAGTATCGCGTCTTCGTGGTGTGGCTACCCAGGTCACGTTGCTTCGTTCACATCACTCAAGAACCACATGCGTAAAAGTGGTGACAGGGTCGAGCCAGAAAATGTTGGAGGTTGGCAGCAATGCCGCGCATGAGAAGAAGGATGGAAGGAATGGCCAGAAAACGATGGAGGAGGCAGGGGTCTCGAAGCAAGCACGCTCATGACAAGAAATTCACCATGGAAGGCACCTCCTCCCTTCGGTCCTCCTGACATGACATGGAAGCATCGCCACCCCGCTCTGCTGCATTCCTCCCAACGGCCGCCAAAACAGTCGCGTCAGCCTGTCTGTCCTCTCTTCTTCAGCTCTCTTCGCACCTCCTGCTCCGGTTGACCTACACTCGCTTGGTCAAGTTCCTCGCCACTCCCGACGGTCTTCTCTCTCCAGCACCTCTGGCTATCCGGGACCACCTTCCAACTGCATCACCAAAAAAAGCCTTCATCATCTTCGCCCCAGCTGAACTGCATCGTATGGTCGGTTCTGTCCGTCTCTCGCTGGGTTCGCGGTCGCACTCCTTCGTTGATTTTTATCTGCTTTCCACTGCATAACCTTTTGAGGTGCCTTCCAACACAGTTTCACAGGTACTCCCACCGACATGCTATAATCGCCTCTACTGGTTTGCAGCATCATGTCGGAAGGCGGGCGTCCCAAGTCGTCCGCGGCGGTTCGGCCTCCTCTGGGCGACGCTACTTATCGGATCAACAACAACTTGCCCAACGCATCGGCCAAGTCGCCCAAGTCTCATGGCCCCGAAGCCAACGGTGCTCGAATTGACCCTGTCGTGTCACTCGTCAATCCTGATATTGAGATGTCGGATGAACCTACTGTGTCCGAGTCGCATGCTCACGACGGAGGCCACATCTGTGCTGCGCCGCCTTCGGGACCGCAACCGCGATATTCGCGAACGAGGGCCGTCCAAGAGACCGACCCCTCCAAGCGAGTCTCGCAAGCATCTACTGCCCCTTCGAGTAATAGAAGCAGCAATTGCAGCTACAAGACCCAGGTTGGGCCTTGGCAGCTGGGCAAGACGTTGGGGAAGGGGTCATCAGCACGCGTTCGACTGTGCCGACACCGCCTCTCCGGAGAACTCGCTGCCGTCAAGATCATTCCGAAGAAGACGGCATATCTGATTCAACACGGCAGCCTCGCCGCTCTCCACCAGTACGATGATAGTCTCCCGGACCGGATCGACGGCGAAATGCGTGTGCCAATGTCCATCGAGCGTGAAGTCGCCATTCTCAAGCTTGTTGACCACCCCAACGTCATGAAGGTGTATGATATTTGGGAGAATCGCTCAGAAATGTAAGTTGAATGGTGTGAGTCGATCAAGATGTGACAAGCGTGGCTCACCCGTGCATAGCTATCTGGTGCTCGAATACGTCGACAAGGGTGACCTCTTCGACTACATCAATACCAATGGGCGTCTCAACGAGGAGGCGGCCATGTACTTTTTTCGACAGATCATGAGCGCCATGCAACATTGCCACGCCTTCAACATCTGTCATCGCGACTTGAAGCCTGAGAACATCCTGCTGAACGCCGAAAACCAGATCAAGATTGCAGACTTTGGCATGGCTGCCTTGCATCAGTCTGAAGGCCATCGTCTTGAAACTGCGTGTGGTAGTCCACACTATGCTGCGCCTGAGCTGCTGAAGAACAAGCACTACCGCGGAGACAGGGCTGATGTATGGTCAATGGGTGTTATTCTTTACGCCATCCTGGCTGCTCGACTGCCTTTCGATGACCCCGACATTCGCGTCCTCCTTGCAAGGACCAAAAAAGGGATATACGAGATGCCCGAGTTTCTCAGTCCCGAAGCAAAGGACCTCATATGTCGCATGCTTCAAGTCAATCCAGACATTCGAATCAGTCTCAAAGACATGTGGCGCCACCCTTTGATTCGGAAGTACGATTACCTCGACAATTTTGGCACCAAAGCTGGGCAGCCACGAAACATCCGTGAAGGGTTCGACTACACCCCTCTGAAGCCTCAGGAGGTCGACGACCATCTCGTGAGACAATTACGTTCGCTGTGGCACATGTTCTCCGAACATCAGATCAAGCTCATGCTTCTCGATTCATCGTAGGTCACTTTCTTCTGTATAATGTCAGTCTGCAATATGCAGTGTTGATCGGTACTGACAAGTCATGTCCAGTAAAAATGATCAAAAACTCTTTTACTGGCTGCTCCAGCAGTATCGACAGAAACAATTGGAAAATTTTCTGCCGGAAGTCTCTCAATCACCGAGCGACTATCATCACCTTCACCAGCCAGCCTGGAAGAAGCGTGTGTCAACCTGCGAGTTCACTCAGCCGCGAGCTCATGGCCACGGCAGAAGCATTTCCAAGTTTACTGTCATCTCTAATGTTCCTGACACCGACGTCGGTACGGTCAGGAGCTATGATCCGTACAATTCTAGTCGTCCCATGCGTGCGAATTCGCAAGTAAGCCATGCCAGAATTGTCGTGCACCGGAAGAATCAACCCAGCAAGAGCTATGCCCGAGAAGATACGTATACCTCCCAGATCACAAGGACGGGCACACGGTCGACTGGTCGCCACACACGAGTCGACTCGCAGCGAACTGCTGTCAGTGGTCGCTTCCCGTCCTCACGAGGCTCCATGGGTTCAGTGGCGAGCAGTCGGCAGGGAGGATCTTATAGTCGCCCAGCTTCGCGCCGCAAACGCAGAGTCGACTTTTCCCAGGCCAGGAACCCATCAGTCGATCATCGCCGCGGGAAGCAGAGCGTTCGGCGGGGAGCAATGAGCAACGCAAGTAACCCTCTAGCACCGCGTCAGGCAGAAAAGGCTTCTGAAAACGTCATCAGTCCTCCGAAGCTCCGCAAGGTGATGGACCGGCCACGGCCAAAACCAAGACTGAAGATAGTCAGGCCGCATGACCCACATGCCATGGTCAATGAAGAAGTCCGAAATTTCTCAACAGTATCGCAAGGATGCGATGATGCGTTCAAACAGTTCAGCCATTGGTCTGAGATATCAGCGAGCTGCCGCTGATGTGGGCCTCTAATGACGACGGACTCGACGCTTGTCTTCACGACACTGGAGCACCTTCAGTCTCACGCCCACTGCACATCATCACAAATCATCCTTGGGATTCGCGGCCATTGCCGGCACTGCCGCCTCAGACTCCGGGCTCTCCCACTCCACAGGTAGAGTCTTTCCAGCAAGGACGAGAGGACCAAGCAGGCCTCAGCCGGATGATGATCAAGTCAATCGACTGCTCTACGGTACTGCTGCCCAACACGATCGTAGGGTGTTTCGGCCCCAGCATACGACAAAGGTCATGAAAAGCTTGCTTCAATCAACGAGAATGGGCGTGAAATTCCTCCACAAAGCAGCACGTGGACATCGAGAGATCGCGCATCGTTTCTGCACCTCCTAGAACGCCTCGAAATCGGGCAGATGCTGACGGACTGGATTATCTGTCTCGCGTAGGCGAAACGATTCGAGTCGTCAACTCTCCCACAGCAACAAGCCCCGTGCCAGCACCACTCAATGTACGAAAGAAGCATTCACATCACCCAGCTAGTGCGGTCGAAGGCGCCGGCCTGCGACAAGCGTACATGCACGGCGCGATTCACGATAATAGGCCTCCCGCGGGGCTGTCTGCGTCTCGCATCAGTTCGCAGGGTACGGATTCTATACGGAAGAAAAAGTCCTGGTTCAAGCGATCTGCCAGGGAGGATGATCAGCGCGAGGCGAGCATCCGCACCAAACAGACTTGTAGCTCCCGTGAAACGACCGACACAAGGCCATGTACTACGGCTACTCAGTCGACCA